AAACTTTTGGCCCTTGCTTCTGTTCCTGGACCTTGGTCCTCCTGCTGCACCTCCTCCTGCTTCAGCCCTCAGGTACCTGTTCCTGTCTGCATTGCTTCCTTGGTTTCTTGACTCTTGGCTTGCTTGACTACACTTTTGCCTCTTGGACTGGACTTACCTTTCTCTTTTGCTCCTGGCACTGACCTTGGACAGTTGGGTAAAGTTTTGGACTTGTTTGGGATTGGACTTTGGACTCTAGTGTAGTTGCCTGGGTCCTGGTGTGTGTATTGCTTAGTCAGCTGCCTGTGACCCAGATGCTGACAGCCCGGAGGACAGCCTGCAGTGGAGGAACTGCAAGCCATCCTGTGCAACACTGAACAAGAGGCTAAGCGGACCAAGCAGTGGCAACGATACCAAGGCTTGCAAGAGCAAGAAGAGTGTTGGTTGTTGGAGACTTCCTGTTGTGTGAAATGAAACACATGCATGCCAGGAAGACCCATGGACTCATCAGGTATGCCATCTCCCTGCAGGACGAATTAGTGATGTAACAGAGAGTGACAAGGCTCATCCAGCCCACTGAAAGGTATCCCTTTCTTCTTACACATGTGGGAACAAATGACAACTGCCAAATGGAGCTTTGAAGAAATCATATCAGACTTTGAATCTTTAGGGATAAAAGTCAAGAACTTTGGGGCTCAGTCAGTTTTCTCTTCAATCCTTCCAGATCAAAGAAGTAGAATAGACAGGGAAAGAACAATACTTCATGCGAATGCCTATCTATGAGGGTGATGATAATGTGAGAAATTTGGATTCTGGGACCATGGGCTACACTTCCTGGAAGATGGACTGCTGGCATGAGATGGGGTTGCAGCTTACAAGGACTGGAAAAAGTATATTTTTCCACAGCATGAAGTTTATCAAGAGGACTTTGAACTGAATCCTACAGGGGAGGAAGAAGATAATCTAATTGGGTTGAATGAATCCAAAACTCCAAAGCCCGATGAACTCCATCCTACAATCACAAAGGAACCGATGGAAGAACTCTCAGAACCACTATTATCTTGGAGAAATCATGGAGGACAGGGGAAGTGCCAGATGACTGGAAGAAGGGCAAATATCCCTATCTTCAAGAAAGAAAAGAAGAACCTGGGAACTACATACCTGTCAGTTTGATATCAATCCCTGGGAAACCTCCAGAGCAGATTTTGAAGCAGTCAATCTGCAAACACCTTGAAAGCAATGAAGTGATTACAAGAAGCCAATATGGATTCCACAAGAAAATATCTTGCCAGTTGAATCTGATTTCATTTTGGATTGGGCAACCTCCCTGATGGCCTGTAGGAATGCTGTGAACGTAATAATCTTGACTTCAGCAAAGCTTTTGACTGAGTCTCCCATGATCTCCTGGTTACCAAACTAGCTCAGAGTGGGCTAGATGGAACAACAATCACGTGGATCCACAGTTGACTACAGAATTGGACTCAATAAGTGCTCATCAATGGGACCTTCTCAAACTGGGGAGAGGTATAAGTGGGGTACCTCAGGGGTCAGTCCTGGGGCCAGTGCAACATTTTAAATAATGATTTAGATGAGGAAGTGCAGAGTTGCAGATGACACAGAACTGGGTGGGATAGCTAAAGCCCTGAAACTCACAAAAAGGATTCAAGGTGATCTTGATAGGTTGGAATGCCGGGCTGAAAACAGCAGAATGAAATTTAGTAGGGACAAATGCCAAGTTCTGCACCTAGGAAAATGAAACCAAATGCATCATTACAGGAGGGGCAATACTTGGTTGGCTCAGTAATACTGCAAGTGAAAGGGATCTTCAAATTGTTGTAGATCACAAGCTGTAAATATGAGTCAACCCTGTGATGTGGCTGCATGAAGGGCAAATGCTACTTTATACTGGATCAATGGAAGTATCATTTCCAAATCCCATGAAGTACTAGTTCCCCTTTGCTCAGTACTGGTTAGGCCTCATCTGGAGTAGTGTGTCCAGTTCTCGGCACCACAGGTTAAAAAAGATGCAAACAAGCTGGAAAAGTTTCAGAGGAGGGAAACGAGGATGATCCAGGGACTGGAAACAAAGCCCTGTGTGAAGAGATTGAAAGAACTGGATATGTTTATGCTCAAGAAGAGAAGACTGAGGGGAGATATGAGAGCACTCTATAAGTACTTGAAAGACTTCCGGAGAGGAAGGATGGGCTCAATCATCCCAAAGTGCAGGACACAAAATAATGGTCTCAAGTTACTGAAAGCCAGATTCCGACTAAACATCAGGAAAATTTTCCTGACTGTTAGAGCAGTAAAAGCATGGCACCAATGACCTCGGGAGGTTGTGGGTTCTCCCGCACTGGAGGCATTTGAGATGGACGGCCCTCTGAGAGGGGTGGCTTAACTTGAAGTCCTGCACTGAGCAGGGCGTTGGACCCGATGGCCCTGTGGCCACTTCCAACTCTGCTTTTGAATGATTCTTTGATTCTACAGCTCTATGACATGACGTGCAAACCCCATGAAAGGTGTTCCCTATTCCGAATGGCACCAAGGGTGTGTTATCCTGTTATATGGAAAGCCCCAATAAATGTGTTAGTCTTTTAGGTGTCACAAGGTGTTGTGTTGTTTTTTCTGCTGCAGGCAAAAACTTCTACCATCTATAGATGGGAACAGTTTTAGATTGCAAACAAGTAAACAAACAGATTTTTTCCCTAAGTAATACTGGTAATTTATTATGTTCTATTGTATTTCAATGTATTTTATTGTGTTGTAAGCCGCCCCGAGGCTTCGGCAAGGGGCGGCATAGAAATGTTATAATAATAATAATAAAAAATAATAAAAACAAAGCAACACACAGAAGGGAAGCGTATCAGTGGGAAAAAGTGCATGGAGATTGACTGATTTCTAGAGCCCTCATTTGTTTTGCTTGTGTTGGTTGTTTTACTTCTCCCAGTAATCTTGTCAGTGATTTTCAACACTGCTGCTTTCAAGGAACTCACCCCACAGAGATTTGTATCCCAGACTTCCTCTTCGTTGGGGCCCTGTGCTTACAAGGGTTCTGGGAGGGCGATGATCTTGAGTGCTTCACTGCTTTCTCTGCGATTCTGCTGGTTTTTTCACCTGCCATTTCTGGGGGAGCACGTAGTGAGGAGACAGGGTTTGCCTTGTCCCTTTCCTCTAACCGGTTGTGTGGATGGTGCCCAGCAAGAGAGGGCAAAGGAGTGGGTACCATTAACAATGAATGAGCTGGTGGGGCTTCCTGCCCAAGCATCTCCAAAATCTGGGGCAGGAACAGACTGATAGCTACCTATATATACCACTTTAGTTTTTTTTGCTACATTTATACCCTGCCTTTTTCTCCAAAGAGCCCAAGGCAGCACACAGAATACTCCTCTCCATTTTATCCTCACAACCCTTTGAAGTTGGTTAAATTGAGAAACAGAGGGTAGCCCAAGGTCACCCAGTGGGCTTCATGCCATTCTGAGAACTAGGAGCCACAGGCCTTGTACAACCCTTTTCAGCTTGTGCCTTTGGAGAGGAGCAGAATTTCCTACCCCCCCCCTCCCGCCACCAAGAATCTCCAAAATTAAGGTAAGGTAATTCATATAAAAGAAACAACAAAGCAGCAGGGCAGGTTGGTGTCTCCTGTGTCAGTGGAAACTCCTTAGCAGTTGCAGTTTGTATCCTGAGCTTTACAGAAACTATCCGTGGTGCTTAAATCCATCTCCAAAACAGGTTTACCTTCATGGAGTACCATGGGTAGCTCCTATAAAACTCAGGATAAAAACTGCAATGGATGGGGAGCCACTTCTCTAGCACAGCAGCAAAGCAACACTTCTCACACCAAGAAGCAGGGTGGTGGAGGAGGAGGAGGAGGAGGAGGAGTAACTTCCCCTTCATGCCTGAATCATGTTTAGTGCTAAATGGCTTTCAGGTATGATTGCCAAATGGAAGCTGCAAGAACAGAGGCTGTGTATCTCTGGAAACCAGGTGTCATGGACAGATCACAAGGGAAAGTTTTTCCCAAAGAAATATGTGGGATGAATGCTTGAAAAGGTTCTAGTGACTCTGGAAGTGAGATAAAAAGAACATGAAAATGAATTTTTAATACCCTAAACCCTTCTCTCTACCCACTGCATCACGCTGGCAGGGTTCAGACATGAAAACTCTCACTCAAGGGTCAAATATGGGTTGTTGAGCTGTTGGTTGATTTTGAAATGTGGGTTACTGTATTGTATTAATCCAGCTGAGATAATAAACCATGGGGAACAAACCACAGTTTGCAACCCAAAAACAAAGCATGGGTTCTTTTCATGGGGTGTTTGTAGTTAACAAGCTAGTGCTGCTGTGTTTAAACTGCACAATCACCCATGTTTCAGTAACAATCTACAATTCAACAACTGACAACCTTTCATTGTGCTTGGGCATATGTTCAAATCCAAGCTCAGTTAGAAATTTAACAAAGAAGCTTCTCTCACCTTCAGCTCCTTTTCTGTCAAATGGGAGTAGTTAAGATATAGCATTTTTGTGGAAAAAAAGAAGCTGAGAAAATGTTTCTTTCCTGAGCTGTGCTCTAAATATACACAAAGACACATTTTCCTCCAGTGCTGCAAACAATTGTTTTTTCTCTTATTACTAACATCTACTAACAAAGTAGTTTAAAAGACAGATGCAGCCCTTTTATATCTTATTCCTTTTGTTCTAAGACATGCAAAGCACCATTACAAATCTGACAATTTGGCCTGAGCATACAACAGGCATCTATCTACCTATAGTGCTTTTAGCCAGAGAGGCTTTCAAAGGCTACAGAGCCACCCAAAGACCCTAACAATTGTATTGTTTTACGCTTTGAGGAGAACAAACTATGATGAACAAGTAGGGAACTTTTCAACATGAGTTGTGTCCCCTGCACCTCCCAACTAACCCACTTGAGCCCTGTTAAAAGTAGAAAAGTTTTGCTAATCTGCACCATCACCCTTTCTTCTCCTTGAAGGGTTCCTTCAAGGCATGTGGCAAATTATTTTGCTTTACATTGTTCTGTTGACAAAGTTCTGATAATAATTTGTAGAATTTTTCAGTACATCCAGTGGGACCAGTGGAATGGGGATATTTTGTTCGCACACCACAGTCTCATACGGAGGAGCAGCCTCCATTGGGAAGGATGATGACAAGGAAATAGAAGGAATAGGCTCCTGGAGATCTTGTGGTCCAGACAAATACCCAGCGTCCCTTTCCATAGATGTCCCAAGAGACAACTCTTCATCCCAGGGAACGTTTAGAGTCTGTTCATTTTGTCGACAAGGGTCAATCAGGGAGTAAGGCGGAGGGTCATCTGTAGGAATACAGGTCTGAGCTGCTTGGTCTCCAACACACTCATCATAGCTGAAAGAAAACAGAATCTTTATTTATCTTCACTCTGCATCAAGATCAGAGGCGAAATATGCTTACAGACCATAAAAAGAGAAATAAAAGCTGCAGCTTGGTATAAAATTCTGTGCTCCATCCATAAATAGGTTCCATTTATGTGTCCAGTGTAAACACCACAATCTCCTGTATGAAGGGCTGCTAGAGGGCAGTCGTCTGTTTGAAGAAGGGAGGGCAGGGCCCCCAAAGCATCTGGGGAACAGGCCAAGCAAGCAGGCCAACAGGGAGGCTCATCATAGCCTTCCTCAATATGTTGAGATAGGCTGTACCTGCAGCAATTATTTCTAAACTTGCATCTATACACCTCAGGCAGCACATTCACATTTCATGCAAGCTGGTTTCTTCTTTTTGGTGGAGCATCTCCTCTTTTTTCATGTGTGTTAAGTGGCCACTCCAACATTATGCTGGGGCTATTCAAAATGCTAGTTTTATCTTTAAAACTGTCAATGGCCACGCCTTGGTATAAGTTAGAGATAGTGCCTTTTCATCTATGCTCTACCACTAGGAGGAGTGAAGTGGCCCCTCACATGGGAGATGGTGGGCAGTAGTGGGAATATAGTGTAAGACTGAGCTCTATGGACCATTCATGGGCCGCCCAGGATTGCTAAGTTAACCTGTTGCCCTCAGGTGTGCTGGAGAAAACCGTCCCATCACCTTTGTTGAAATAAGTTTCCACTGCCCATCTAGTTGGCTTCTGTACATGGAACGTGGGGGCCAGAGGCCATCTTGTTCTTGACCTAAGAAAGCACAATGTCTTGAGCTAGTCCCGCACACTAAATTTCCCTATTCCTTTAGATGTAGGAATGAGGGTCCATCCAGGGCTGGTTCCTGGAAAAGGGCTGAAGCCACCATTTTAATTTCACAGAGTGTTTTGGAGTTCATTTGGGAGCACTACACGAAACCAAAATGGTGGAAAGACCCAGCTGCCCGTCACTGTTCTGAAAGCCGGGCCCATTTTATTTTGGAACTGGGCAGGCCAGCAACAAGGTAGATCCCGCTGGGGCAGCTGCCCATGAAAGCTGCGTCACAGCATTATCCCTGCTAACATATAAATTGTCGTTTAAGGCCCTCAGTTACTTCAGTTTCTTCCAAACCAAAAAGCTACAAGTACCTTTGTTCAGAAAGAAGGAATGCTTGCTTTTGTTAAAATGGCCACCAGCATGGATGAGTTGGAGAAGCAGCAGGAAAAGCTGTCCAGCTAAGTATTTTGTGTCCTCAACTGTTTTGTTCTTTCCTTGATGAAGCCAAGATACCAGAAATGGGCTCCATCTCTTGAACCATGAAGAGGAGCTGGAAACAGCAGGCAAGCAAAACACCATTTAGCTAGTTGCTTGTCAAGCATTGTCCTTATAGGACAGAGTGATAAGGTATTGTAGTGGTTGGACTGCTGGACCAGGTCTCAGGCCTCAGGAGATCTGGGTTCTATTCCTCACTTAGCCAAGAATGACCTTGGGCCAGTCATTGACTGTCAGAGCAACCCACAAGAGAAAGTTATGAACAGCACCCGTTCCAGGCCTTTTGTGCTCAAGGCAAGGCTAACTACTTGTGCCCCTCCCCTCCCCCACTACTAACCAATTTTGAAAAACAGATGGCTTGTAGGAAAAATGAAAAGCACAAAACTTGAAATTGCTAATTTAAAAAGAATGTGAGAATAAATAATACAACAATCTTTGATTTTCTTTCTCAAAGACAAAACAGTTTTAGAACACAAATCACAAATCATTTTGATAATCCTGTGAATTATGATGTTAAAATTTAACTCTCTTGAATGCTCCCATTTCAGGCGTATCAAAATCTCATTTTGTGTCCCTTTTCCTTGACAAATTTTGTCACTAGTTCTTTAAGGTCATAGAATTATAGAACAGTAGAGTTGGAAGGGGCCATGAAGGCCATCAAGTCCAACCTCCTGCTGTTGCAGGACACCAGGTTACACCATCCCACTCAGATGGCTCTCTAGTTTCTTTTGAATGTCTCTAGTGTGGGAGAGCCCACCACCTCTCTAGGCAGCTGGTCCCACTGTCGTATTGCTCTGACAGTGAGGAAGCTTTTCCTATGTCCAGCCTGAATCTGGCTTGTCGCAACTTGAATTGATTATTCTGTGTCCTACACTCTGGCATTAGCAAGAAGAGATCTTTGTGACAGCCCTTGAAGTACTTATAGAGAGATATCTTGTCCCCCATCAGTCTTCCTTTCTCAAGGCTGAGCATGCCCAGTTCTCTCAGTCTCTCCTCATAGGGCAGTGTTTCCAAACCATGGATCATTTTTGTTGCCCTCCTATGGACCCTTTCTAATTATTCTGCATACTTCTTAAATCTTGGTGCCGAGAACTGAACACAGTATTACAGGTGAGGTCCGACTAGTGAGGAGTATAGGGGAACTACTACTTCTCATGATTTGGAAGTAATACTTCTGTTAATGCATCCGAAAATAGCATTTGCCCTTTTGGCGGCTGCATCACATTGTTGGCTATTGTCGACACAATAAGGTCAAGTGCTTATGCTTGGGTACATTAAATTGATATAGTTGCCAAACTAACTAGTCTCTTTTGCAGCATTGTTGAGCGTGTGTATGTTTGTGTAAGTTTGAGCTTTGAGAAACTGCATTCACCACTTGCCACTGACACTGGAAGTGTGAGAAGGATCCTTATAGCACAGAAACATTAGGCACCCTATCCAGGAGTTTTTGTTGCAGTCTATGCAGTGGTGGCATATCTGGTGGAAGTCTTTGAGCTATTGCTATAAATTCACAGGACAGATCTTCAGTATCAATACCTTTGTTTCCATTGTACATCAAGGATTTCCCCAAAATTTTGCAAGTCTTAAGAACATTTTCATTTTTTTTGGCTGACACTGAATATATCATACAGGAAGTCAAATAGGGAAATCTATTGTTGCAGCAGGTGGAATCTCATTCCAACAGATTGAATGGTCACATCTAAGAAATCATAATAGAAAGAATTTCTGCTTTGCATCTTGTGGTGCCTCATCTTGTGCCTCATACTCAAACTGCTGTTTTGTTCTCCTTTCCCTCCCTAACTTGTTCTCTCTCAAAGCTGGGTAATATTTCTAGCTCCATTCAATTCTCGGTAGCATCTATCAAAACTTGTTGAAAATCCTTATCACACCTACAGCCCACAAGGTAATTATAGCTGAATTTAAATCAGTGTCCTCCTTATTTTGTAGTAGTTTGCTTGTAAGACTGATTTTCAAAAAGATGTTGTACCATGTAACAAGGGATACCACAAACTTGAACTTTCAAATTGCATCAGCAAGAGCCCTAGCTTCCATTTGAGAAGCATTTCCAGATAATTTTTTAAGGTTCATGTCCTCAAAGATCTCCATCAAGGCATCGTATATACTACCAAGATGATATCTTGGTGGTTTCGAAGCATCAATCTGACCCTTCCATCTTGTTTGACTCAATGGCTTTACAGTCATGCCTGAGTGTTCCAACTAACAGTGGTTAGTTAGAACTTGAGTTGATGCAGATAACTAATTATAGATCTGGTGAAACAAACTGAAGAAACTTGCTGCTTCCAGATAACACTTAGCAGCATCATTGACCACCATGTTTAAAGAGTATGCATTGCAGGGCATGAAAAAGGCACATGGATTTATGTCTAGCATTCTCTTTATATGACATTTTTTTACCTTTCATGTTACTCTCATTACTGTAACCTTGACTACACAGATTCTCAAGTGGTAATCCCATTTGCTCAAGAGTTACTGTCATAAAGGCATCTGAAGTCTCCTGTAGTGGAACAAATTCTAAGAAAAGTTCTTTTATCAGAACCGCAGGTTCAGACATCTCAGTATCTGATGGTCTGAGTACATCAACCTAATGTACAACCATTGACATTTGTACAATATGGCTAATGTCTGGTGTGCAGTCCAGAATAACTGTGTAGTATCTGGTTGAGTTTAGCATGCTAAAATTCTCTGCTTTATAGCACCTGCTAGAAGTTGTATAAGCTCATTTTGGATATCTTTTCCTAATTAGTGAATCATTATTCACCTTTAACTCTGTGCAAATGTTCACTCATGATAGGATCAAAAAGGGAAAAGGGCTAAATATTCTACAACTTCAAAAAAATTCCATTGTTAACACTGTAAAACTTTTCATTTGCATCATGGAATGCCATGTTTTGCATGCCAAGAACTCTGACCAAAGCAACCAAGCATTCCAAGACTTGTTTCCAATGTTGTTCTTTTTGCCTGATTTTCTGCTGGTTAATATTATCAGTAGTTTTTGCTTTATATAACTGCAATTCAAGTTCTCTTCAAGACTGGTAGTTTTCTAAATGGGAAGTATTCCACTATTGTAAAGACAGAACTGCTTCAATATTCTTCGTCTTTTAAACCTGGTTCTTGTAGAGCTGATGCACCATTTCTTTTGCTGAGCTGCCAACAACAACACAAACAACAACACACCTTTTGCGGTGGACTAAACCAGCCATCGATAGCACACTTCTTCATTGTTTGCTAGTATCCTCCTGTAGTGTATAGGAGAAAATCTTCTGTTGTTTGAGTCTTTGGGAAAATCATATGATAGAATCTGCTGTTACCCATGTTGTAGTATAAGCAGTCACAAATTATCATGGCAATGGTTAGGCCAGTAAGCAGGGCCACTGTAATTCAAATCTGGCACAATGCCATTTTTTGCAGTCTTTGCAGTACTCTCACTTTCCTTGAAATCCTCTTTTTCCTCTGTGGGCTTTACTGAAATATCTCCACATTGTGAAACTTCTTTCTTAGAGTGGTAGCTTCCTCAGTGGTAGTTTCAACAAGAGTATAGTCCTATTCTTGTTCTTTAACTGCTTTCCGTGTACAAAGGTATTTCTGGAAGAGCCCCTCTAGCTTCGCTTGCTCCCTACCTCTTTCTGCTTTTCATTTATGGAACTTAGTCCAAGCCAAGCGAGACCAGGAGACAGTTAGATTTAGGGCGGAAGGTGTTGCGTG